CTGTGGTCACTGCCTCCCCTAGTTGTCATCAACTAAGCTTCAATGGATGTTCATGCGGCAAACCTGGCCAGGAGGGAATTGCTTGTGTTCTCTGATACCACCTACACTTCTATCATTAGGACAATCATGGTATTCATTCTCCTCACTGGTACTAGATTGCTCTCACTAACTTGGGGCCCAATCATGGTGGAAAGTGATTTTCAGTGTCATCTCATGGGTCAAGAATAAACCTACAGGTCCAAGGAGACTTCAAGCAAATCTCTGACAAATTTTGACTGACGTTAAAGTTTGAAGTACATTACACAAATAGATGGGCCAAGGCAAGCATGTCAGGTGAATCTTGGGTCCATGAAGGAGTCTCCAGATCCTCACTCCTGATTGAACCTACTGAAGAATAGCCCCATCCAATGGCTCTCCATACTAGTGAAGTACAGTTAATCATCCAAAAGTAGTGTAGCAATTTGAATCTGATATCAGTAAAGTTTGGATGCTCAAAACACCTGAACTGTAGAAAGCTGCGGCTATCATCATTGATTGACATATTACATAAGTCACAAATGATAATTGTCAATGGATCCATGAAAACTTGGTAAATAATTCAATGAATATCTACGTGAAACATATAGAAACCCATTGATTGTCTCATAAATATGGTAGCATTTCCACAGTCCATATTACAATTGCCTAGGGAATAAATGTGATACAAGATGCAAGGGAGACTAAGAAATGATTTTCCATTAAAAACAAGAAGTACTGGAAGCACCAATCTCACTCACATACAAGGTCTTGCAACAAAGCTATCTTACTAAATTTGTTTCACCAAAAGAGATGCACGAGCATTGACAAAGAGACCGTTAAGAAAAAGAGTAATCATCAACGAGCGGGTGAAATTAAAGGGACATGCTAAGCTGGACTTATAATTGCATGATTTATCACTAGGAGATATCTTTCATCATCATCAGAGCCTAGTCCTAATTATTCGGGGTTTGGCCTCACAAATCTTGTTCCACGATTCTACTCTATCAAAGGCCATACCCTCAGTGAGACCACAAGTCCACATATCTTTTCTCACTACTTCCATCCATGTCCTTTTGGACCTTCTGCTTTCCCTTTTAGAGCTTTCCACTTGAACCAAATGCACTTCCTAACCGGTGTTGTATTAGGTCTGCGTTGCACATGGCCAGCTTCCATAAGTCTACTTTCCTCATCTTGTCGCCTAGTGGAGCCACCCGTTGCTGAATGTATTCATTTCGAATTCTATCCTTTTTTGTTTTGCCACTCATCCATCTCAACATTCTCATCACAGCTACACTTATCTCAGCATTCTCATCTTACTAGGAGATACCTTTACACATTATAAAATACTGTCAATACGCTTCTCAGCTGCATTTATTGGGGAAAAAATTGTTTCTCAACCACATGAAAATACGTAACAAGTTGTCTATGATGCAAATCGAATCATCTCTAGAAAAAACCTACTCAAAATGTAAATGAAGATCCAGAAATATTTACGCAGATGCTAGTCCAATGGAAATCTCCATTACCAATTACGGAAGATGCAGTGGCATCTTTCCCTGAAATGAATGCCACACTAGCCTTATTTCATACATGGAGAAGCCTAACTCATGCTGCTAAAGTACTAGTTTTTTAACACAGTATGGTAGAAGTGTCATAAAAGAGGCTGAGAACTTCGAAACGTGAGTGCCAATATCCCTATAAACTCCATTAAGATGACCACTAGGTCAAGTAATTGCAATAGCTGAGATGAACTCAGTTTAACAAAGAAAAATCTACATCAAGATAAATTGATGATCTCTACATATCAATCTCAACTTCTGATAATCATCAACTTAATCAACCAAGAAGGTATGCTATTCTCTATAAGTATGACAGGATCCAAGGTAGTTCTATAGTTGTTGGAATGCAAAGCAGGATCGTAAGTGGTTTCAGGAACAAAATCTGGGGACTGCGAAACAAAGATCCCTATAGTGGAGAGTGTCAATCGTACAATCCATTCTAGGGATCTCAATTCCAACCTTTGGGGAACTTGAACCCAACTTTTTTTGGAGATCTTGCTCCCAACCTTTTGGGATCGAGCAAGAAATTAAGACTACACTGTTTCAGTTTACAATTTCTAATGAGAAATAGTATTAAACAGTGTAATCATAAGTAAATTTCATAGCAGATCAATTCGAACTAGCCTAGGACTATTATAAGACTACACTGTCTAATTTGTAAACATTAAATAGTGTAGCTTCAAAAGGTTGGGATTGCCCCCAACCTTTTGGAAGCTCAATCCCCAATAGTGGGGATTGAGATTAAAAAATTTAAAAATCGATATCCCTTGACGATTCTTCCCTCGAGCGGCCATGGGGGGGTCCAGGCCGCCCAATGCCTAAGCGACCGCCTACGCAGGCACCAAGAACCTGGGCGGTGCAGTTGAAAAAAAAAAAAATTGTCTGATTCTGATAATCCATAAGAATTTTGATAATCCATAAGACCATAATCCATATTTTTATACAATGCTAAAACAGTAAAACCATACAAGCATACACTGATAGTCTGATACACTATAGACTGCACACACAAAAGTTAGATAGTAGAACTAGAAACTAGAAAGTAGAAACTACAAATAAGAAAAAGAAAATATACAGAATATTCATAAAATATACAGTCTAGGACATAATAGTCAACACTCAATAGTCAACAGTCAACAATCAACACTTAACACTAAGAGTCTTCAGTCGTCATCATCATCATAGGGTAAACCTCATCATATGCATCAGTTTCGAAGCCATCATCATCAGAGTCATCTCGCTCTTCAATATCACGTTCATCCTCCTCTGTTTCTTCTGAATCTGCATCTTCGTTTCTTTCTTCTTCTACCCCCCTCTTACTAGTATGTACAGATGAGGCCCTAGGAGTCTTGGCCGCTCTACCATTTTCTATCTTTTTGTGCTTCCCTGAGCTTAAATATTGTATAATCTCCTCCCTAGTAGCCTCAGGAACATTTTTACACATGGCAACATCCCCTTAATACCGGTAAGGTGTTTTTTAAATCGGTAAATGCCCCCATTAGTATCATTTCCACAATAATTACATTTAATACGATTTTTTTCATTTGGAATCGGGTTATAACCATACTTCCAACCTGGATCATCACTTTTAGAAAAACCTGGAGAAGATATTTCCAGAGAACAAGGCTCATTTTCATCATTTTCAAGTTCTTTTAAATTAAAACATTATCTAATCTCATCCTCAATAGCTTCAGGAGCCATTTACAAGAAGCAACATTCCCTTTAATACCAGCAAGGTATTTCTTGAATCGGTTAATATCCCCATTAGTATTTGGGTTATAACCGTACTTCCAACCCGGATCACTTATTCTAGAAGAAATATTAATAGATCTATTCAAATGACAAGGATTTTGTTCCTGTTTTTGTTTTACAAAACTCATATATTGCTTAATCTCCTCTCTAATAGCTTAATCTCCTGACTGGACTTGGACCCAAAAATCAAAATATTTATATCCTTAAATATATTTAAATGGGAAACGTTTATATAACTTTTGACACCAAAATTACATTTATGATAAAATTTGGAGGCACACCTTAATTTGATTGTTCCAAGCTTATGCAAACCACACCTTATTTAAATAAATTCCATAAATATGTTAAATATATATGCATTACTTAGATATTATAATTTATAACTATAAATATATAATTATATTTAGTTATATATTATTTTAATACATAACTATTCAGGTTGGGTCCAGGTCGGGTCCACCAAGACCTAGACCCAACAATACAATTTGGGTCCAAGATTTGGACCCGGACTTGACCTGTCGGGTCCATATTATGGACTTGTACCCAGACTTGGGTCGAGTCTACCCATCGGTCAAGGTTTGGGCCTGGGTACATTGCCCCCCCCCCCCAACTAGCAATGATGTTGTGGTCACTAACGTGGCAAAATTATCTCTTCTTCTTTGCATTCTTGTGTGTCCTTAGATGCATCCGGTAATACTTGGATACTTAGAATAATGTACATTAGCTTGTACACTCACCCAAAATATATACGATATCTATGGAGCAAGAGGATGTCCTTGAAAGATTGCTACCAACTAGGAATAGCATAGGTACCACTAAGGGAGAAATAGTCATGGAAGCAAGAAGCCACCCAAGTACAACGTTCTTGCAATGAAGCTATGCTGGGTCGATTAAAAGAGGATAAAAGTTTATTGGATATATAATCAAGAAAATGCAGAGAATTAGAAAGCACTAGATAAAGACCATTAAAAGCAACAAAGGAACTCTTGAATATAAGAATTTCACCCACCATACTATTTTTAATCTATCACCATGTCTTAGATGCCGGGATGCTACAACCAAGTTTCAATGACTCAACTACCACTTATGCTCAATCTGGGAGTCAAAGGCATTTGGAAGTAGGCAGGAATTCACCAGGACCTATGCTTATCAAGTGTGACAATAAAATGCTTAGTAAAGAACTACCCACACCCATAGATTACTTGGGGTGCATAAGGATAAGGATGGCGATGATCCCTTTTCATGCTAAGTGTGAGAAACACATCACATGTAAGGTGATGATCAGGTCTACAAGAAGATGCAACAATTCCACCTTATAAGTAATATTATGCAAGGAATGTATATTTGTACTTAGATTTCGATTGAGTTAATTATTCATGAAGGAAAAGAATCAATGCAAATAAAAAATATCAAAAAAAGTGAAATCAGTTAAAAGCACGTTTTAAAAGTCAAATTGCAGGGCCGGAACTCGCCGGACTTTAAAACCGTAGATGTTAGAGTTTTAAATTAGCTTCAAGACTTCCAAGATGTCTTCTAAGAAAATTATGGTTTGCCCATCTTCCATTATGACATTAAAAACAATATTTAACATGATCTCAAGAAGAGTCGAAAAATACATAACTCCAGAGATCTAAGAAATTAGTAAGAAATCTATTTAAAATATGTTCTTACTTGTAATAACTTTCCACCAGCAGCAAATGAACGCAATCCAATTGTATCCTGCATAAAAAGGTAGAGAGAAACAAACCATCATTATCAGCCAACCAACCAGTTACAGCATGATATATCACGTACTCAAAAGCACATAGGACATTAGTTTAAATTTAAAATAAGGAAAAACATCTAAATATACCTTAGTTCTGAACGCAACTAGAAATTGAGCTGCAGGGTCCCTTTTTGTCACATTAGACATGGTGTCCAAGAACCAACCACCACCAGGTACTCTTTGTCTAGACACATGATACCCAGCTCGACCTCTTGCATGCAAAGCTATAACATACCCATCTTTCAGCAACTCCCCAGATTGTCTATTGAGTCCCTTGCTCAATACAAGCCCTGGCTTATCACATACCGTTGATTCAGCAGGACAAACAGGTCTGATTCTAGAAGAATCTTCAGGGGAAGCAAAACGAGAACTAGAACTCATTCCCTGATCCCTGCCATTTATTGACGTGTCATCCTCCCTTTGAGAAGTAGAATTGTTGCTGTCTTTCTCTAATAAGGTAAGTGAATCTGACTTTAGGTGGGACTTACGCCGTGATGGTCTCTTTTTACCTTTCTTGCCTGACCTACCATGCCTTTCTTCAGACCGAGTAGAGGACTGCGAGATACCCGAATCATGGGAGTGAGGGGAAGCATCTTCTAATTGATAGGCATGTTTTTTATGGAACTCTGAACTCATTGGACTTTCAGCAGTCAACTGTTCACCATTACGAACCAAGAAAGCACTTTCAGTATCCCGTTTCTCAAACTGCTCATCATCATACCCAGTTTCAACTTGTTCTTCCTCATCAGAAACAGCATTTTTTGGAATGATACCCTCAAGAAAGAACGTCTGTAATATTGAAACAGCCTTCTCTCTTATTTCCATCCACACTTCCTCACTGTAATCTGAACTACGAGGTAGTATGATTACATTTGGCATCTCCCGCACCTGGAGAGAGTAGAAAAACATAGATAACAGAAAACACCAATCAGAAGAAAAATATTGTCATCTTCATAGCCAGGAAAACTATAACTTTGACATGCAAATACAGATGTTGCTGTGCTTCAGAGCGCAATCCATTTCAGTCAGTATGAGGTCTTTTATGAACAAAACTAACATTTTATTGCCGGTCAGAAAGGGATGGTGGTGTAGGCCTGATAACCACTGAACTACCTTCCAGAAATTCATAGTCCAATGCTAAGTTGAAGAATGGAATCAACAAAGCAATAATACTGTGCATCTAAGAGTACATTTTTATGTAGGACCCAATTAATGCCTCTTTTAGATGCATGATAGGAATTACAATGACTTGCTTAGACCTCCATCTCCAGTAAGAGCACATTTATTTATCTCAGCGATTGTCTGTATCTTAGAACATATAATACAACTATGTCTAGTTTATGATGAAAATCAGGAAGAGAGATGAATAAGAACACAAAAAGAACTAACCTGTTGAGCTATTTCGTAAATTATATATAAAATTCATCATTGTATTTTAAAAACATAGAATACATCTTATAGACTCCAAACTGAAGTCCAGGTGCCTCCAAAGACGTCTCACCAAGTCCCCACATATTGCAAAGTTAAAACCACATAAAACTACTTGAAATATCTACCAGAAATAGATAATAAATAAAAAACTAATCAAAACAGAACCCAAGCCCCAAAAAGGATTAATACTATCTTCTTAATTTATCACTAACATAACCATAAATGACTGTCCCCCTGAATTTCCTGCAAACCACAAAAGGATTCAAATTCATGTACTTTTTTTATCTTCACCCCTGGTCAAAAGAAACTCATCTTTTTAATTAATAAATTTCAGAGCATGCCCACATCAAGCATCTATAGTTGACTTTGCAGTAGTGACTTCTATAGTTCACTTTTGAGACCCATCTCTATTCTTTGATACCATCCTTATACTCATTGCCAGGTGGATTCCATATTTGGTAGCCAGTTATTCAACAAGCGGACCGCCCAGGGCCTGGGCGACTGTCGAGGGGGTATAGAAGGCCTCAGCGCATCCCCCAAGCCTAGGTGCCAGAAAAAGGCAGAAATCCCTGGGCTCCTAAGACCCCGCCTAGGCGGGTGCTCAGCGCCCAGCCCTGAGTGGTCGCCCAAGGCCTACGCCCTGCCCAGAGATGGAAAAGCCACTCAATAGGGGCATTTTGTGTCTGTTTTGTTTTTTATACTAAGGGGCCAAAATTGTGGGTTTTAGGTTCATTTGAAACCTAAAACCCATGAGAGCCTATTTTTTATAGAAAAAAACCCCAAAAAACTAGTTTTTGGTGAGTTCTTTAGGATCGAAGCATTTCTCAAAGTTATAAGAAATTGACCAAAACACCCATTGTTTTAGATTTAATTTTGGATGTTTTATCAATATATTAGAGGGTTTTTTAGAAGCATCTTAGAGGTGGAAGTTTGGAGATCCAGCAATCAAAGTAAGTGATTCTTTCTATTGCTAGTATAAGTTGTATTATTTTGAGATGTCTTCTTCAGAATCTAATAAAAGTAGTGATCCGGGTTGGAAATATGACTACAACTCAAATCCTTTGGATAAAAATTGCATAGGATGCAAGTTTTGTGAAAAAGATACAAAAAGGGGTATAAACCGGTTCAAGAAACATCTTGCCGGTATCAGGGGGGATGTTGCCCCATGTAAAAAAAACTCTTGATGCTGTTAAAGATAAACAATTTTTTGAGTCATATAAAAATGAAAAAAGATGAGAGACATGCCTCCATAGCAGAGATTAGGTCTGGGGTTCGGGTCAATTATGATGATGATGATAGTGATGAGGACAGGGAGGGATGTCAAGAGGTAGAACAATCCATTATTAGGGGGAAGGGAAAGGGAGTTGTAATTTCTTCTGAGACTTCGGGGCCTAAGAAGCCTCGGGTTAGAGGCTCTATGGATTGTTTTTTGCCCCGGCCTGACCCTGAGGTTGCAGGAGAGAAAACAAATAAGCAAACCACCATTGAAAATAGAATGAAGAAGGAAGAGAGAGATAGAGCTGCTTTTTATGTTGCTACATGGTTTTATGAGGCGAGCATTCCTATCAATATTGCTCGCCTAAGCAGCTTCTACGCTTTGGTAGAGGCAATTGGCCAATTTGAGCCTGGGATGAAACCCCCAACCCCATATGAGCTTTCAGAACCTCGTTTGAAAAAAGTAATGACTGTCACAAAGGATGTTGTTGAAGTTCAGAAGGATGCGTGGGCTCAATATGGAGTTTCTATTATGATTGATGCTTGGAGTGATAGGAAGAGAAGAAGTCAGATGAATTTGCCGGTGAATTGTCCTTAAGGGACTGTTTTCTTGAGGTCTATTGATGCCTCTGATCATATCCATGATGGCCATTACATATTCCAAGTTATAGAGAAGGGAATCAAAGAGGTTGGGGAGCAGCTTGTTATACAGGTTGTCACAGACAATGTTGTTCCTAATGTTGCTGCTACTAATTTGTTGCGCATAGCTTACCCTAGAATCTTTTGGACACCATGTGCAGCACATTGTATAAACCTCAAGCTTGAGGCTCTTTGTGGTTGGAGCAAAATTTTAGGTGCAGTGAAGAAGGGAAAGTCAGTTACGAATTTCATTTATAACCACACTCTCACCCTTAGCATAATGCGTAGATTTACAAAGAAGAAAGAGATTGTGAGGCCTAGGGTCACGAGATTTACGAGTTAGTACTTATGCCTAGATAGCATACATTCGAGGAGAGTCCAGTTGAGGCAAATGTTTACCCCGGATGATTGAAGAGCATGCAAGTGGTCCAAGGATCAGGTTGGGAAGAAGCTCAGAGATATTATCCTTTCTAAGGCTTTTTGGCGAGGGGTGAAGGACGGTATTTTTTCCTCTTGTCAAAGTCCTTCGCATGGTTGATAATGGCAAGGCTTCTATAGGCTACATATGTGAGGCTATGGAGAAATGCAATTGAGAGCTAGCTCAAACTTTAGATGCCTATGAGAACTACTATAAGCATGTTTGGAAGATTATTGATGAGAATTGGGATAGGCAGCTACATCGCCCATTGCATGCAGCTAGTTATTATTTGAACCCAGCTTTTTATTTATGTTGATAAGGATATACACACAAATGACACAATTATGACTGGATTTAATAAGTATGTAGATGTGCTAGTCCCTGATCCGGATATCCAGGACATTATATGTGTTGATGAGCTGATAAATTACAAATGTGCACTAGAGTCTTTAGGGAGTCCAATGGCGATGAGGCAAAGGACCAAAATTGATCCAGGTAATAATATTCTTAAGTTCATCAAGTTTCATTTCGATAATTCTATTATTTATTTATGATTTTATTTTATATCTTTGCAGCCAATTGGTGGAGCCAACATGGGTGTAGTGCTCCAAATTTACAAAAGTTGGCCATTTGGATCTTAAACCTAACCCTACCTCGTCCGGTTATGAGTGGAATTAGAGTACTTTTGAAGGGGTAAGGGTAATTTGTATTAGTAATTTAGTACTTTAGTAGTTATTAGTTTTGACTGTTTTGTAGTAGTACTATTATATATGTAACAATTTTAATTATTTATATTAATATGTTTCATTTAACTTTGTTAGATTTATACAAAGAAAAAGAACAAACTTGAATCAAAGAGGCTCAATGACTTAGTCTATGTCAAGTATAATCGATTCTTGAAAGACAGGTTTGCTAAGAGAGATAAGAGAGACTCCCTCAGATCAAAAAATATGGACAATGCTATGGTGTGCTTGTTTGATGATGATCAGGTCGAGGGGTATGAAGGATTGACATGGGACATGGGACATGGTCATGGATTCTTTTGGGACATCAGCCGACCCTCCTAGGGCCACTAGATCTTCTGCACAGAGGACGAGGGTGGAGGAAGCAGAAGTAAATTCAGAAGAGCCAGAGGAGGACGACCATTATGTCGAGGAGGGAGATGATGACAATGATGATGGCAACGACTCCAATGCATATGATGCAAATGCAGCAGACCCTACTTTTTCTGATGATGAATGATGAATGATGATTGAACTTTGAACATTGATTGAAGATTATTTTGAGTCTTGAAGTATTTCTTTCAGTTTTGTTTTCCTCCTCTTGGTTGTGTATTGTGGATAGTGGATTTGTGGTTCCATTGGTTTGGCATTTGGTAACTTTGGTTTGATAATTTGGATAGTAAATTTTCAGTTTTAACTGTGTGTTGAATGTGGATTGTGGACTGTGGACTGTGGACTATCAATCAAACTATGGATAATTCATAATTCATAATTGGATATGGACTTATGGTTATGCTTATGGAGTGTGTGCTCCTATGTGTTGTGTAGTATACTTTTGAATTTTGATGTGCCCTAAATTCCTAATTCTTTCTTCTTTTTTTTAACTGGGCTGCCCAGGTTCTAGGTGCCTGCCTAAGCACTAGGTTGCCTGAACCCCCCATGCCGCCTAGGACCCGCCTAGACCCCTCACCAAATCCCCGCATATTGCAAAGTTAAAACCTCATAAAACTACTTGAAATATCAACTAGAAATAGATAATAAATAAAAAATAATCAAAACAGAATCCAAACCCCAAAAAGGATTAATACTATCTTCTTAATTTATCAGTAACATAACCATAAACGACTATGCCCTTAGCAAAAAACAAAAGGACTCAAATTCATGTACTTTTTATTTTATCTTCTCCCCTGGTCAAAAGAAACTCCTCTTTTTAATTGATAAATTTCAGATTATGCCCTCATCAAGCTTGTATAGTTGACGTTGCAGTAGTGACTTCTATAGTTCACTTCTGAGACCCATCTCTATTCTTTGATACCATCCTATACTTATTGCCAACTGGATTCCATATTTGGTAGCAGACACTTACGGGATTCACCTTGAAGAAGTACCAAGGTGTTAAATTATTTTATTATTACTTTCAAAAAAAATTATTTATTTTGTGGTCCATTTGAATTTATATGGTCCTTAAGGACCATCATCTTCTTTCCCGCACCACATATGCCCTTTTTCTTTGACCGCAGTTATCACATAACCGCAGTGATGAACCATAGTGAAAAGCCCCCTTCCCTCTTTCTTCAGTACGCCCAGGCCTCCTTTCTTGAGGCATGTTAGCCATCCCTCCTTTATATTAATAATATCTCTATTATAACCTCTTCCCTCTACATCGTTTTATGCCATGTCTATATTTATGTGGCTTCTCTCTCCATAACTCATTTCATGTACTTTTTCTTTCTTACCTCTACCCAACATGTCATTAAGACTTGGATTAACTTTAATATATTTAAAAGTATAAAAAGGGATGGGAATGGTATAGAGGAGAGCGAGCTCAAACTATGAAAAACAGGAGGTTTTAAAAGAGAACAGAGAATAGAGAACAAAGAGAGTGGAGAACAGAGGTTCTAGACAATTATAGTGGGAAGTAGGAGACATTAGAAATCAATTTCAAAGCAGAAAGAAGTTCCAAGTTATTGGAATTGATACATAGTGATGTTTGTGATCTAAGAGAAGTACATAGCCTTAGTAGGAAGAAATACTTCGTCACTTTCATTGATGATTTCTTAAGATACACTTATGTTTATTTGATTAGAAGCACAGATGCAGTATTTAAGAAATTCAAGGTTTACAAAGCCCAAGTTGAAATCGAATTGAATTTTAAATTAAGTTTTTCAGAAGTGACACAAGTGCTGAATATTGTTCCACTAACTTCACTAAATATAGTGCAGAAAATGGAATTATTCACCAAGTTATTGCCCCATAGACACCACAACTGAACAGTTTAGCTGAAAGGAAATGTCTCACACCTGTAGATATGATGAATGCTATGCTCATTAGTTCAAACCTCCCTGTTAAGTTATGGGCATAGGCTTTAATGTTAGATTGTTACATTTTAAACTGAATACTATATTGAAATCCAATGTTTCACTATATGAACTTTGGAAAGGAAGGGAAACCTTATTAAGGATTCCTCAAGGTTTGGGGTTGTGCAGCCTCAATAAGGCTCCTAAGTTGGACCTAGATATGAGAAATGTGTTTTTGTTGGCTATGCTGAACATAGCAAACCATATAGATGTCTAGACTTGGTATCTAATGCGATTACAGAGTCCAAGGATGCAGAATTCTTTTGAACATACATTTATTGGCGAGCAGGATAATGAATATGAAGAACGACAAGATAATCGTAAAATTGATGAGCATGAGAATCCTGATGACTTAGAACCCAGGAGAACCACGAGAAACAGTAAACCAACTGATTTTGATCATGATTTTCAGATGTATCTTTTGGAAGATCCTAAAAATTTCAATGATGCCATGTCCTCATGTGACACCAAGTTGGAGGGAGGCAGTCAATTTTGAGATGAAATCTATATTGGAAAATGAGATACTGGTGGATTTACCTCCTGATGCCAAGCCTTTAGAATGTAAATGGATTTTCAAAAAGAAAATAAAGACAGATGGTGCTATTGAGAATTATAAAGCAAGACTGGTTGCAAAAGGTTTTAAACAAAAGGAAGGTGTTGATTTCTTTGATACCTATGCTCCAGTCGCCCGAATTGCTACCATTGGTGTACTCATTGCCTTGACTTCTATATACCATCTAAAGAATCACCAGATGGATGTCTGCTTTTCTCCATGCTGAACTAGATGAAGAAATTCATATTGAGCAACATGAGGGGTTTGTTCGAAGGATACAAGAGCACAAGATCTGTAAACTTGAAAAATCCATGTATGGTTTGAAGCAAACACCCGACCAGTGGAATGAAACATTCCATAGAGTTTTTTTTATCACATAAACTTCGAATCAATGATGTTGATACATGTGTATGCCAAAGTTGGTGAAAGTGCGATAGTAATTATTTGCCTATATGTAGATGATATGCTCATACTAGGTAGCAATAATGCATGCATTGAGGAGACAAAAATTATTATTTTTTTATAAGAGAGGAGACAAAAATTATTATCTTTTGAATTTAATATGAAAGACATGGAACATGCTGATTTAATACTTGGAATTAAAATAGTGATAACACCGACTCGTTATATTTTAACCCAGAGTGACTATATAAAGGAAATGTTCAAAAGATTGATCAATTTGAATGCAAACCAATTTCAGACCCGTTATAATACTCATATTAAACTCAAAAAGAATTGTGATGCTCCTATTCCCAAGTAGACTATGGGAGAGTAATTGGATCTATAATGTATGCAATGTCCTCTACCAGACCAGACATAGCCTTTGTTGTGGGTAAGCTGACTAGATATTGCAGTAACCCAAGTCAAGAGCACTAACATGCGGTTATAAGGGCCTGAGATATCTCAAAAGAACCATAGACAATGGCCCACATTATGTAGGTGAGCCAGCTGTATTAGAAGGTTACAACGAGGCAAACTGGACTACGGATGATGAATCCATCTCTACTAGCAAACTATGGTGGGGGTTTCATTGCTTGGGGTTCCGAGAAGCAACTATATCCCCAAATCCATGATTGATTGGAGTTAATAGCCTTAGAAGTCACTACTAACGAGGCTGAGTGGCTAAGGAACTTGTTGATAGATGTACCACTTGTTTTTGGGCCACACCCACAGTGTCAATACGGTAAGCCAGTGAAATTGGAATATATCGAGCAAAAGTAAGATTTATTCTGGATAAACCACATATATTTGCTTGAGGCACAATCGATTGAGACTTTGTTAGAAGATAGAATCATATTAGTACTCATGTATGTTCACTAAAGATAATTGGAGGGATGGGATTCAAGTCCACTTGTATATGCTAGAGTGACAGGAACCCTACCTAAGGACAAGGAGATCTCAAGTCCAAGTTTCAAAGGGAAAAAAAGTCAATTGTGTGATCTCTAATGATTTTTGTACCAAACTATATTTAATAGAAATATAAAAAATTTGTACCCTATCCCTGGTTGTGTGGTGTCTGAGTATTGCTCTTAATGATTCCCTTTTCTTAGATGATGAAATGCCTAGGCTGGGATATCAAACTGCAGAATAGACTCCATGGATTCACATATTTGATTGTGGAAGTGGAGGTCGTTTCTTATGGGAACTGAGCATTCCCTAAAGCGCTCTTGAATATCAAGAATGGGCAGGGCCTTAAATGCGCAAGCCTTTTAGAAAATCACAACATTTTGAAAGAAAATGTGTGGTATGCGGAAGGCTTATCAATAATGGACATAGTTCAAGGTTTGTCCACTCATTGTCCAGGTACGCGTTCTGTATAAAACTGTGGAGGTTAAAGTCTATAGGACACCTTCACTTAATGCTTTTCTCTCTTGATATTGCTTTGATAGTCTCTGTTATCTAGTTTAAACTGTTTTGAAATTGGTCAGGAATTGTTAATTATTTTATTATTAGTTTCAAAACAAATTTATTTATTTGGTGGTCCATTTGAATTTATATGGTCCTTAAGGACCACCACGTTCTTTTTTCCCTTACCACATTTCCTCATTTTCTTTTCACTGCCGTTATCACTTCACCGCGGTGATGAATCGCAGTGAAAAGCCCTCTTCGCTCTTTCTTTAGTACGCTCATGCTTCCTTTTCTTTAGGCATGTGGGCCATCCCTCTATATTAATATTATCTTCATTATAACCTCTTCCATCTACATGGTTTAACACCACATCTATATTTATGTGGCTTCTCTCCCTTCATAATATTAATGTGATTTTTCTTTCTTACCTCTATCCAACATGTCATTAGGAGTTCGATTAATATATAATTTATACTATATTTAAAAGTTATAAAAAGGGAAGGGAATGGTATAGAAGAGAGAGAGCTCGTACTATGAAAATAAGAGGTTTTAAGAGACAACAGAGAATAGAGAGAACAGAGAACAGAGGTTCCAAACGATTACAGAGGGAGCAAGAGACCTTAGAAATCAATTTCTAAAGTACCATAAATTTTTATCGAGGTCCATTGACCTTTTATTACAGTGTCAAATTTGAGGTCCATTGACCTTTATTACTGCATCCAATTTAGGTACATTGACCGCAATCAATTCGACAATAAGATCAGAAAAATTGTGACCTTAAGATCTTCAAGAGTGTAACTCAAAGTTCTTTCGACTTTTATTTGGACCGGTTGCATACTGGGATTGAACTCGCAGGGACCAACACATTAAAGGAAAATCCATAAGCCATGTTTTATCCCTTTCAAAGAAACCAAAAATATTGGAAAGAAGCTAATCTTCAAATTTATGAGAGAAGCAACAAAAATTGACAAATTTAAACAAAGTATCCACATTGCAAATTGACAAACAGGGGAAAAAAAAAAGTCAACCCACACAAGAATGTTTTAAAACTCTTTGGGGACCATTAGAATGTTTAGAAAGCATAGTGAGAAACCTTAGCAGTCCAATAAGATTTTCAGTGTGAGTCCAGTTGACGTATAAACCATCTACAGCACAAGCTCAGTTCGTCCTTAGGATGCCATAGAATCTTATGAAAAGAGAATGAAGCTAGGAAAACAATCAAGATAATATCGCATACCCTAAGGCTAATGCTCATACCCATGCTTCCATCCATTGTGGCCCTTCTGCACCATCCAAGGCACAACCAGAAATCATGCCGTCAATCAGCAGTTGCTTTAGAGCACAATCATCCAACAATTGGCTGCTGCCTGTATTTACTATAAAAGCCCCTGCAGAAAACCACAGTCCATAATAATCATCACAAGGAGGATTATGTTTTGTATAGCCTAATTAATAATCTTTCAAAATGGGGGTCATAATGCACTAAGTCATGAACACTATCCAATATAATAATTTGAAAGACAAAACTGGTAGCAATGATAAAATTCATCAAAACTTTAAATAAAAAAGATGAGCTTCATCAGAAATGGAGAAGCTCCTAATGATTACCAGGTTTTATGTGCTGCAGGCATTCTGCATTAATAATCTGGATGGTTTCATTAGAAAGTGCACAATGAAGTGAAACAAGATCACTTGCAGCTAGTAAATCATTGAGGGTGTCCATTCTTCGAGCAGCAGGAGGAAAAGATACAGAAGATCGCCCTGTTTTTCCTTTCCCCTGTATATAACCAGAAAAGATAAAGTTGTAAGACAAGTAACTAGCTATTCCAAATATAAAGGGTGGTCTAGAAGCATGCAATGCTTAGGTCAACAGATATCTATATCTAAATTTAGAGATACAACAAATGTTGTAACCTTCATTTACGCAGATAGATTTCATATAATTAGTTACAAACAATACTTGCAAAACCAGACTGAAGTCAACCAGGAGAAGGGGCCACCTCATTTCAAACACAGGTCCACTCAGTCAGACCGGTTAAATAAAGAACAAATAAAAATATGTTCATTAGTAGATTTAAAGGATAAACCAGCTGATTCACAGGTACAAGCCACCATCAGGCCGAGTTTGGGCCTGGTTTCTGGTCAAACCAGTTGGACTGCGCAGTCCTGTCAGTTTTTTTTTTTTTTTAAATAATATCATCCTATCCAGTTCTCACAAAACTATTAACTTCTGGGAAAATATTGGAGCAATAAAGTACTTGGAAATCACTTCATTAACAATAGGTTATAGGTAATTTCATGTTCTTAAAATGAATCCCATCCGGTACATGGGTTTCATGATTTCATGACAAATTGATAGCACTTGCTACTGTCATCTGAGTCCAAGGCATTGCCTTCAAGTATTGGGCAGAGAAGTCCCAGCCTGCAAATGGAAGGGTGTTGTGGTGGAACCTCTAGTAGCTGTAGAATTTTCATTGGCATCAGGATTGCAAGAACTGGAAGGATTCTTCAGTAAAGAATCAATGGAAAAGCTATAAGAGCATCATGGATCATCTTTAATGGTCACTTACGGGATAGATTACAGGAAGATTACAGGGTTCACATGTATGAATGCCAGATTGATTACTTACCTAAAAAAAGAGTTCCAAATGGATTGCTAAAAAATGACTTTCTAGTGATGGACGGGGAACTGAAAGTGCCTAAGGGAGGCAGCACAAATGGGGATCACTAACAATGCTTACCAGGCTGATGGGTAGCAACCACAGCCATCGGCAAGCACATTCCACCAATGATATAAATGACTTTCTTAGAGCACAATGAACAATGAAGAAAAACAAGATCACGTGGAACAAGTAAAGAGTTGCTCTCTCCTTCAGCCAGCAACAATAAAAATTGTTATTTTCCTTCCTTCTTGGCCCCTGGAAGGGTGGGCTGCACTCATAGGAAGTAAGTAATAAGTATTGCCACTTATGTTGCCTGAACATAGGTGGTTGCTGGTATTCGACACAGTTCGGATTCCCAGAGCCTTGAAAATGGAAATTAGATGCACATGTAGTGTATGTGTGCGTGTGTGTATGTATCAATTTTGAACTCCAACTCACTCATAGCCCAAAACCAAGTCAACTCATCGCACTTTTTCAATTTTAGAATAGAAATCACGAGTTCTTCAATTTTGTAAAATAGTATAATGCCAACAACAAGGTTCAAGCTTGAAACAACTGACCAAGTCCAAACAAGGAAATGCATGCACACTGAACCCATAATAAATTTTATCAATTCCAGCACATTTAATTTATAAACTGGAAACTCAGCCAAACCTAAGCTTTTCCTAGAACTCTGGGACCTTGCGAGTCAAGTGGACTCAGATGAATAGAAAATACACATAATGAGTTTTCGACATCAGAATGTATACACATTGAAGAAGAGATAAGGGAGTAAAACACAATGGTGGCAGGCAGAGGCAACTATGTACAGCATTACTTTGGGATCGGACTCAACAGCTCAAACTAAATAGGAGGGGAAGTGGGGGAACAAAACAAAATGGAATGAAGTGATATTGGATGGAAAGCAAATATAAGGACTTTGCTTTTAAAACCACATGCTTCAAGAGGTTTTGAGCCATGTCCTGACAGTATGGGCACCTTCTAAGTGTCCCTAGACTACAATACATTATCCCTAATAATGAGTAGAGACCATTGTTAGAAAACCCGGGCGATCTAACCGCTAACGGCCCAGTTAGATCGGAAGTGACCGGTTCCGGTTTTGGGCGGTTTTGGTGATTGACAGGGATTTTTTAAAAAATAAAAAAAATGTATATAACTTCCCTAAAATAAGGAATTTGGTTTGTAATCCATTTCTTAATATTCTTTACATTATGGTAAATATTAAAAATTATTTTTTTCATTAATCCTCAGTTTAATTCAAAAATTGATTCGTTTAAATCTATTTTTTCATTAATTTTCAACTTCATTTGAATGTGTTTTGTTTTAATCATTTTTTATAGGCCTTTCATATTTTAGTAGATGTTTTTTTGTCTCTTTTTTATTTTTCAACACTTTTTTGACCGCCCGGGACTTGCCCGGTTAGCATGGTTGAATCGACCGGTTTACCGGTTAGGCCGGTTAAACCGCTTCCAGGCCCATGTCTGGTTAAATGTTCCGGTTCGAATTTGGGAACACTGGTAGAGACAGATGTCAAACTCAAAGAGACCAAGGACATTCAAGGGTTGTGAGACAAGGAACTGAAACCACCCAAGAAGTTCATGCCAAATAAAGCTTCATCCATTTTGGGGCCATTTGAAAAGGAAACAAACACTATGTAAACCGGTTACCAAGGGTTAGAGTGGGTGAGGATATGAAAAGTGGTGCTCCACAAATTGTTGTTTGGATCCTACTCTCAAGCCTCCAACGAGCCTCTAGCACATGTTCAACGCATGTAAGGTTGATAAGGGCCTTCATTAAAAACCACCTCACAATGAAAGTAGGACAAACAAGGGTTTGACTAGCATTAGCTAAAGTTACATAGGGTGGAAACCAGATGGCATGCATATTTCGGGACAGTGCCCCACTTTCAAATTGTCATCTTAAATGCCATCCGACCTCCAATCCAAGGCAGAAAAGTTGGGTTGGCTCCGTGAGACTGTAACCATGGTCTATGGATGTAGGTGTCAATTTGAAATGATAGAGAGGCTCATCTGATTCATCTAGTTTCCATCCTTGAGAATTAATATTGAAATATGATCATTTCAATCTATTAGGTGACTCAAAAAAAAAAATTTTGATACAAAAGTGTGTGCTTGAGTATCTTGTAGGGTGTTAGTGTCTCTGGAGCTTTTAGGGCACATTTTGGATCGCGCCGGAGCATTTCAAAACATCAATCACTCCAAGATCATATGAGATCTAATCATCCCTCTAAAAGATTAAAAAAAATTTCAATAAATAAAATATCTGCAGTAAGACCACCAATTTATAACATTCTAGTCGGCCCCATGAACATTTTTCAAATGCGTGCAATGTGGCAAGGGAGCTTGAGCATCGAAAGATATTTTTCTTGGAAAGGAAGCAGTGAAGATCATAAAGTCTAGACAATGAAGGAGGAGGTGTACAAGAACAAGGCCCTGGAGGGAATGGGCAGTCCATATTGGGGAATGGCCAATCAAACATTTTTCACAAAATGCCAATAAGGGGAAGTATACTAGTAGAGTAGCAGCGATAGTTGGGCACTCCACTGCAGGATAAATGCCCCGATATTATGTAATTTTTAACCGTAAAGGAGAGAACTGCACTGAGGGATATCCCACAAGCCTGAAACTGGAAGACGGTTTTGTATTGGCACCACTAGTCCCTTGGAGCAAGCTGATAGACTTGGTCATTGGAGCCAAGGAATAGAAAGAAAGGACAATGGAAATAATGCAAATGGCCAGAATTGTGACTTGAAACTAGTGATAATATCCAATTGATATTCTGCAACATGAATTGCATTGCGTTTCAAATACATTTTACTGTGATCCTCAATTGCATGGGCAATACAGAAACCGTTCATTTGCTGGAAGATCGAGAGGGTTTTTTAAGAAACAACCATCACAAAAACACAGAAGCTATGCAGCCAATGAACTCAAGGATAAACATTCAAAATTTTCGAATTAGGGCAAAGCATTTTTCCTAGTGTCTGTGCTACTAATATGAGCTAAATCAGCACAAATCTGATCAATGAGGAGACAAGCAGTTAGAAGGCCAACAAATACGAGGAGGGGCGTTGAAAACATTTCCTTGAGATCCAGTACAAATAATGTGGAAGTACTAAAAGCTCAAGCACATGAATGGAAAGGGAAAAAAAAGAGAGAGGAAACATGTGGGATTCTGGGTGGTTGGCTTGTCATTAGGGCATTGCTGGCTGCAGTGCTCCAAGCTTCAAATCCCAACTGACGTACCGGAGAGACAGAGAGAGAAGTTGCACGAGTAGGAAATGATGAACGGAGAGGGAGGGAAGGAGAGATTTAAGTTGCAGGAGAGGAGAGCGACAACCAATCAATGATGCCAGAATAAGTGTCAGAGAGAGAGAGTCGCAATAACAGAGAAAAGGGCATGAGGATATGTACCTGGTGGTCAACATCAAAGTAGAGAACGCTCATCTTGAATGCGAGGGTGCGGGTAGCAAGGCAGGAAGCAGAGGCAGATCTGCCAACAATGCCCAGGACAAGGCCCCTGCAGCGGCGCATGCCCCTGCAAAGTGGCTGCAGCGAGCCCAGGCACGCGGAAGATGAAGACGAGGCATGGTGCTGGGACAGCAGGTGGGTGCGCCTCAGGAGGGCAAGAAAGAGGGCCATGACCGTGTCAGCCACCTCCTCGGCCCTGCTGGTGTCCACATGGACAAGGTGGAGGCCAAGGTCAGTGGCGAGGGAGGAGTCGACGGCCTTGTCAGAGGAGCCAAGGCAGAGGAGGAGCTGGGATGAGTGGAGCCGACGCTGGGCAGCGCGAGGGAGGTAAGCAAGGGAGTGGAGGAGGACAGCCGCAGCCGCCTCAATCCGGCCCTCCGCGATGCGGCCCAGCTCCACATGCTCCACCACGGCGATCCCAGACAGCCTCTCCGCTTCAAAAGCTACGCAGTCCTCGAGGCAGTTAAGGGCCACCACCAGTGGAACCGACTCCGATTTCCCTCCACTCTTGCTGCTCCTCACGCTTCCCCCTTGCTCCTTCCTCCCCATCCTCTCTCTCTCTCTCTCTCTCTCTCTTCTTCTGCTCCTTCCTTCTGCGCCCCAACCCTCACGCTAGTTGCTCCCCACCCTCCTCACTCTCAAATATGCTGTCCGCACTCGCACATGTACTCCCTACATTTCCCACGTGTCTATGCACTCCTATGTGTATCCCTCCTTTCGCGGGGCTTCCACCTTTGTTTTTATTATCAGCTTATGCGATCAACCATGGAATTATGGAAAACAATACAGCTAATGACTTCCAAAAACAATGTCAAGCTATTGGCTTCCAAAACGATGTCGTACTACAATGAAAAAAATGATATCATCCTAGCCACATACATTTATGAAGAGCTGAGCTTTTACAAAACAAACACGCCCTTGAAATAGGGTTTACACTCGAGGAGGTGTGAGTGGAAAAAAATAAAAAAAAGTTGCAATTTCAATTATAATTGAAATAATCTACACTATTTATTTTATTTGAATAATATAGATTTTATACTATTTTAAAAAAATATATTATTTTTTTATACATTATTAAAAAACATATCAAACCTATACCATCCAACTTTAGTACATTATAATCTTATTTTTTTCAAATAAAATTACAACTATATACAAACTACACTTTTGAAAAAGAAATTCTCCTACAAGGCAGCACGAGATGTCTCAACCTAAACAATTATCTTCTTAGCAATGGATCGGGTCGGGTCAAATTTCGGACACATACCTGGTACGCCTGCTTATGCAGCCCCTGTCTCTCCGAGGAATATCCTGACAATATAAGGATTCTGTAACAACTTTCACTTGCAAGGCTTTATGTCCATCATTAAAAGTCAAAACGTTCGATATTTTCAACATAATTTGTACCATACGTCTGTATATATATTTGTCCATCAAAAATGTTCCTTGGGTGATCTCTTGTAAAAGTAGTGGCGCTTTTTATGTTATGCGAATCATCAGATCCATTAGTCGCGTGGTAGTCATGATTTTATGTTATGCGAATCATCAGATCCATTAGTCGCGTCCTACTCATGATTTTACCTTGCCTGCCTTGGTTTGCCCACCCATTTGTTTTTTGTATTCTTGAAATTTGGAAACGGTGTCCCATATAAGTCCCTTTTAGATACAGGGTAGCCGTTAGCGTCAGAATTGATCTCATCCATATCCGAAACCGATTCTGAACCCTATTTGGATTTGGGTATAGACCCAAACTTTGGATTTTGGCTCAAACGTTTCGAATTGAAATTTGGGTCAGATCCAGTTTCAGATGGATCCGACCAGGATCCAATCTGATTTTTTTAAATAGTAAATTTTTATTTTATATATATATAAATTTTTTGAATAGTATATATATATATATATATAGTAATCGAATCTAGATCTGCTGTATACTACTTTGATTTTGATCTGAATTCGAATATCCAAGATCTTATTTGGACCTAGATCCGACCCAAATATGATGTATACTATTCAGATTCGGATATGGATCTGGTCAAATCCTGCTTCAATCCTACCCATTCTCACACCTAGCAACCGCACCTAAATTTGTCAAAACACATAAGATATTAACTACTAGCAATTTATCTATATTTTTTTATTTAATATCAAAAAGAAAAGGTTTATATAAGGTTGCAATATTAAAATATAGAATTAAAGATGCACCCTAAAAATTCATCGGAAATGGTTGTTTTAATGTTGAAAACCCCTCTAATTGATCACCACGGTATCGAGATGTATGAATATGAAAAAAAAATAAAAACGATTTGAGTCCCAGAAATAATGCAACTTGCAGCACATTATTTAGAAGGTCCATTTTCAAGATTTTCATATATATATATATATATATATATATATATATCTACTTGTATTTAACTTATTTTAGTTATTACTAATTTAATTAATTAAATTAATAAATTAGTATTAGTAGATAATACTAAAACTTAACTAACAAA